AGAGGCAGGCTGGAGGCAGCATCACCAAGAAGCGCAAGCTGGAGGCCGGCGAGAGCCGCAGCAGCTTCTCGCAGCACGCGCGCACCAGCGGGCGCGTGGCCGTGGAGGAGGTGGACGAGGAGGGCAAGTTCGTGCGGCTGCGCAACAAGTCCAACGAGGTAGGAATCCCGCGGCACCAGGACGCGGCGTGCGTCTGCAGAGAGGGCTCTTCCTCCGCTCCAGGGGGGCGCGGGCCGACTGTGTGGCTCTCGTCCGCCACACCCCAGTCCCGGTCCTGGTACCTGGACCCGTGAGCTGGGAGACCTTGGGCGGGTCGTTTGAACTCTCGGAGCATCTGTTTCCTCATCTGTAAAATGGGCACGAATAATCGTCCCTAAGGCTTTGAGTTGTCCGTGAGCCCAGCGCGTCTGGGATGGCGTGAGGGTCCGCAGACGGCAGCCGTTCCCCTTGGGAAGGGCAGTGGTCGGGGGTTGATGGAGGGAGAGGACTCTGCGCCCGCGAGGGCCTGCCTGGGCCCTTGAGCAAGATGAGCCCCAGAACCTGGATGAGCCTTCCCCACCTTCCTTTTCCCCATCTTCCTGGCAGGACCAGTCCATGGGCAACTGGCAGATCAAGCGCCAGAATGGAGACGATCCCCTGCTGCATTACCGCTTCCCACCCAAGTTCACCTTGAAGGCTGGGCAGGTGGTGACGGTGAGTGGCAGGGCGCTTGGGACTCCAGGGTGGCCTGGGCGGGAGAGGGAGCACTGGAATGAGCGTCCTTCTCTAACCCGTCCTCCCCAGATCTGGGCTTCAGGAGCTGGGGCCACCCATAGCCCCCCCACCGACCTGGTGTGGAAGGCGCAGAGCACCTGGGGCTGCGGGAACAGCCTGCGCACGGCTCTCATCAACTCCACCGGGGAGGTGAGTGTCCCTCTGGCAGCCTCTTGCCGGACAAGGCTCCCCCTGGCAGCCAGAATCGGAGCCAGCTCCCAACCCAAGGGAGCCAATTCCGAGCCATTTCCCAGAGCTCTGTGAGGCAGACCCTGACCCCCCACCCAGCGGGCAAACCAAAGACCCTGCTCCAGCAGCAAGAGGGATGGAAGTCAGACAGCAAGAATGTCAAAGGTGGCGCTGCACTCCTACCCAGAAAGCTTGACAGCGTTCCTCTTGGGTGGAAGTGAGTTCCTTCACTCCATCACCAGGGGACAGAGTGAGCAGCCGGCTGGATAAAGGGCAGTCCACAAGAGAGGCTGCAGGTGTCACCATGTAGATAAGCTGCACACCCGTCCTCAGCCCCGGGCCCCTAACCCTCGGCCCCATCTTGTGTCCCTTGCAGGAAGTGGCCATGCGCAAGCTGGTGCGCTCGGTGACCATGGTGGAGGATGACGAGGATGAGGATGGAGATGACCTGCTCCATCACCACCATGTGAGTGGCAGCCACCGCTGAGGCCAAGCCTGAGCCCGCCGGGGGCAACCCCGCCAGGCCTGGGGCCGCCTCCCCCAACCTGCGTGTGCCAAAAATCTTTTCATTAAAGAATGTTTTAGAACTTCACTCGCAGCCCTGGCCTTTCTTCTCTCTCCTCCCTGTACCTTGAGCAGGGAACCCAGGTGTCTGGGTCCCCTAGTCGGGCAAGGAAGGGAGTGGGAACTTCCCGATGCCTTGGGGCGTTCCTGTGGGAGCAGTGGACGAGGGTCTGGATGAGTGTCCGGGGAAGGGGATGGGAGGACAGATGTGGGGCGCGCCAGCCCTGCCTGTCTCCTCCCACTGCTGTCGCATGCATCTTTCTTGTCCTTTTTGCATCCCTGTTACATGCACGTTCTCTCGCTGCCCTCATTTTTTCTGCAAGAACATTCATGTTCCTGCCACCCCGCCAGCACTGCATGCCTGCTGTCCTGCAAGCTTGCTCCCCTTCTCTCTCCTTTTCCTCTTGAGTGTAGAGCAGCCAGAGCCGAATCAAAGCCACCACTCCTGTTCGGTCTCCGCAAAAGCCTTACTGACCTTCCTCCCCTTCTGTGTCTTCCCTTCCCCCTCCTCCCAGCCCCGGTCTCCCCATCCTGTCCCTGGGGCCTCAGGCGCAGAAACCCCCTTCCTGCCTGGCAGCTGGGAGCCTGCAGAGCCCGCAGCCCTAGCGGTCAGTCCCAGACTCGCCGTCCCGCCTGAGCCATGTCTCCTTCCCCAGGGCTCCCACTGCAGCAGCTCGGGGGACCCCGCTGAGTACAACCTGCGCTCGCGCACCGTGCTGTGTGGGACATGTGGGCAGCCGGCCGACAAGGCTTCTGCCAGCAGCTCGGGAGCCCAGGTGGGCGGATCCATCTCCTCTGGCTCCTCTGGCTCCAGTGTCACAGTCACGCGCAGCTACCGCAGTGTGGGTGGCAGTGGGGGTGGCAGCTTCGGGGACAACCTGGTCACCCGCTCCTACCTCCTGGGCACCTCCGGCCCCCGAACCCAGGTGAGTTGTCCCTTTGTCTCCACACCCTGGTCACTGAGGTTCAGGACAAGGCGGCCCTCCGGAGGGGGAGCCTGCTCTCCCGCAGCCCGGGGGAGTGGGAGCCCCCTCCCCTCAGCCGTGTCCCCACAGCCTGCTCCTGCCCCTCCCATCTGAGCCCCAGATGGGAGGGCGGGGACAGGGCTGGAGTGTGGGGGGTGGGAGGCCAGGAAGGGAGGGCGGCCGGGGCCAGGCGCCACTGCTCACCCCTCTCCCCTCTCTTCTCTCTCAGAACCCCCAGAACTGCCGCATCATGTAATCTGGGACCTGCCAGGCAGCGGTGGTGTCGGAGGCCTCCTGCTTCCTCCCCACCTCATGCCACCCCCTGCCCTGAACCTCATGGGAGGGGCTTGAAGCCAAAGAAAAATACCCCTTTGGTTTTTTTCTTCTGTATTTCCTTTTTCTAAGAGAAGTAATTTTCTACAGTGGTTTTATACTGAAGGAAAAACGCAAGCAAAAAAAAAGCATCTATCTCAATCCTAATTTCTCCTTCCTTCCTTTTCCCTGCTCCCAGAAACTCCACATCTGCCTTAAAACCAAAGACGGCTTCCTCTGGGAGCCGAGGGAAAGGGGTGCTTTTACAGAGCCTAGTTTCTGCTTCTCTGCCTTGGCTGCTGTCCCCACCCCGGGGACCCCGAGAAATGGTGCCTGAGAGGCAGGCAAGGAGGTTTCTCAGCCAGCCTCCTCCGGACAGCAGGCCTGCTACCAGGCCAGCCCCCGAGAGGGAGGGGGAGAGAGAGGCAGGCTGAGCTGGACCCCAGGCCTGGCCTCCCGAGATTCCACTACACCTGGCTGAGGCTTCTCTGCCTGCTCCACCCCAGCCCCCGCCCCTGACCCCAGCCCCGGGGTGAGTCTATCCCAGGTACCAGCTGCGCTTGCTTTTTCTAGATTTTACTAAGACAAGAGATGAGAGGTGGAAGAAGGGGGAGATGGGTGAGTTTGAGCTGCCTTCTAGAACCTGGGTGGGTTCTGTGCAGTCAATGAAGGCCGAAGTCAAGTGCAGGGAGGAGGAAGAGGGAGGTCACTTGGAAGGGTGAGAGCAGGTGGGGCCCACCCAGGAGGAGAAGGGCAGGAGGGGAGGAGGGGGGTGGCAGTGGTTTTGGCAAACACTAAGGAGCCCCTTGCCTCCTCGCTTCCCATCTGCACCCCAATTCTCCTCCCTGGATCAATACACTAGTTGTTTCCATCCCTGGCTGCCCTGGTGTCTGTCTTTGTTGGGGAGCGTCACCGTGTGTCCTGAGGCGCCGACACACACACACACACACACACGTGCTACATGACCACTGTGACTTTCTTCCTCTGGAAGTCCTTCAGAGAAGCAGAACCCAAAGGAGAGCATTTCTTTGCTAATTCCCTTCATCTACCAACATGTGTCAAGCACTTCCTCTGTGCTGGGTCCTGAGCTAAGCATGGACATGAAGACACATGGTATAGCTCCCATCTGAGGGTGGTGACATCTCAGGACCTAGGGGCAAGGACAAGATGGCGGAGAGAGAGCAGAAGCTGGGTGAGGGAGCAGCAGGAAGGAGCAGGACTTATTTGGCAAAGGAGTAATTCATGTCCCTGGGTGTCACATGTGCTCTGCTTGGGGGACAGTGGAATGAACAAGACAATATGTTCCATGTCCTCAGGGAGATTACACCCTGGTGGGAGACAAAACACCACTGCAGACAGAGGGACGTGTCAGGCCAAGTAGGAGCCTCTGAGGGTAGATGGATTGTAACGCAGAGCACAGGACGCCCAGACTGGGGCAAGAGCCCCCGGAAGGGACTGTAGGCTACAGGAACCAGCCTTCTCTGGCCCTCTTAGTTTCCAACCCATTTCTGCACTTTCTCGTTTGACCCTCAGGCTGTCTTGAGAGGTAGTTACTGTCTCCTTTGCCCTTGGGAAAGGGGATTTAGAGTTAAATGCCCAAGGCCACACAGCCAGCAGGTGGCGAAGAGCCCAAGAGTTGAGCCTAGCCAGCTCGGTGGCTCAGCCTGTAATCCCGCGCCTTTGGGAGGATGAGGTGAGTGGATTGCCTGAGCCCGTGGGTTCGAGACCCGCCTGGGCAGCGAGACCTCAGCTCTACAATAAATCAGAAAATCAGCCGGGTGTGGTAGCGCATGCCTGTAATTCTGGCTCCTTAGAAGGCTGAGGCGGAAGGATCGCCGTAGCCCAGCAGGTCGAGGCTGCGGTGGCCGGGAGCGGCCACTGCACTCCAGTCTGGGCGACTGAGTGAGACTCCAACTCATAAATAAATAAATAAAATAAAATAAAAAAGAGTTGAGCTTGCAGGCAAAAGTCAGCAAGAAAAAGGGCATGTCTGGGACTGTGGGAAAAATAGATTGGAAAAAGCAAAACTATTGAGAGTAGAAAGGCCCTGAAGTCATGCTGGAAACTCCTGATCCTCCCATGGGCTTGAGACCAACGTGGTGCCTCCAGGGAAGGGATGCTAAGAGGAAGAGGGTTTAAGGGAGGAGTCCCTGCCTGGGTTGGGCAGTTTTTTGGGTTTTTTCTGAGTCAAGAGTCTCACTCTGTTGCCCAGGCTGGAGTGCAGGGATACGTTCACGGCCACCACAGCCTCGACCTACTGGGCTCAGGTGATCCTTCAGCCTCAGCCTTCCAAGCAGCGGGAACCACAGACATGCGCCGTCACGCCCGGCGAATTTTTTTTTTGTTTTATTGTAGAGACGAGGTCTCCCCATGTTGCTCAGGCTGGTCTTGAACCCCTGAGCTCAGGCCCTTCTCTTGCCTCGGCCTCCCAAGTGCTGGGATGACAGGCTTGGGCCACGGCGCCCGACGGGTAGTTTCCAAACAGGAAACTTCCTCTTCTAGCCCTCCGGGAAGACCTCGAGGCCCCACAGGTGTGGGGTATTAGATGTCAGGGAAGGAGTCGCGCGTCAAAACTGGGACGTCGACGTGCACTCCTAGAGTTGAGCACCTGGGGGCGCCAGAGCGCCACCACGGCCAGCGAGGCGCCCGTGCACCCTGAGTAGAGGTCCCTGGCAGCTCAATTGAACCCTGGTGGGCTCTGGGGCACGGTGGGCACGATGGACCGGTGGCCGGGGTTCCCCGCCCTCGAGGAGGAGGGTGACAGGGTAGGGCAAGGACGCAGACACCGCCGCAAGCGGGCCAGGAGCTGGGACCCGCCGCTGGGGACTCTGCGGTTGGTGCGCCTGCACACGTGGTTGGTTCACATGATGCTCACAACACAGTTCACCACTGGGCAAGCCACATGCAATTATGTAAAAAAAAAAAAAAAAAAAAAAAAAAAGAGGAAGGAAAAAGGAAATAAAAAAAATTTTTTTTGTTTTGTTTAAAATCTAATACATGCTTGGCCAGATGTGATGACACGCACGTGTAGTCCCAGCGACTCCAAAGCCTGAGGCAGAAGGATCACATGAGCCCAAGGGTTCGAGACCCTCGCTGGGCAAAATACTGAGCCCGGACTCTGAAAAATAATAAAACTAAGCCGAGCTCGATGGCTCAGCCTATAATCCCAGCGCTTTGGGAGGCTGAGGTGAGTGGATTGCCTGAGCCCGCGGGTTTGAGACCCGCCTGGGCAACTTGGTGAGACCTGTCCCTACAATAAAGCAAAATAGAATTAGCCAGGTGGGGTAGCGGGCGCTGTAGTTCCAGCTACTTGGAAGGCTGAGGCGGAAGGATCGCCGGAGTCCAGCAGGTTGAGGCTGCGGTGGCCGCGAGCGGCCACTGCACTCCAGTCTGGGCGACAGAGTGAGACTCCAACTCCAAAAAAAAAAACAGGTGAGTACAAATAAGAAAAAAAAGTCAGCCGGGTTCAGCCTGTAATCCCAGCACTTTGGGAGGCCAAGGTGAGAGGACTGCTTGAGCCCAGGGGTTTGAGACCAACTTGGGCAACTTGGTGAGAACTCCTCTCTACAATTAATCACACACACACACAAACACAACTAGCCGGCCGTGGTGGTGTGTGTCTGTAGTTCCAGCTACTTGGAAGGCTGAGGCGGAAGGATTGCAGGAGCCCAGCAGGTCAACTCTGGGGTGGCCGTGAGTGTGCCGCTGCACTCCAACCTGGGTGACAGAGTGAGACTTCGACTCAAAAAAAAAAAAAAGGCTGGGCACAGTGGCTCAAGCCTGTAATCTCAGCCCTTTGAAAGGCTGAAGCAAGTGGATTGCCTGAGCTCACAAGTTCGAGACCAGCTGGGGCAACTTGGCGAGACCTCATCTCTACAATAAATAAAAAATTAGTCAGGTGTGGTAGTGCACACATGTAGTTCCAGTTACTTAGAAGACTGAGGCAAAAGGATCGCTGGAGTCCAGCAGGTCGACTCAACGCTGGGGTGACTGTGAGCATATCACTGCAATCCAGCCTGGGTGACAAGAGTAAGACTCCAACGCAAACAAAACAAAACAAAAACTATCTTAAAATAACACTGACGGCTTGGCGTACTGGTTCACGCCTACAATCCCAACACTTTGGGAGACTGAGGATTGCTTGAAGCCAGGAGTTTGAGACCAGCCTGTACAACATAGTGAGACCCTATCTATAAAAATGGATAAATAAAATAACACTGGCCGGGCTTGGTGGCTCAGCCTGTAATCCCGTGCCTTTGGGAGGCTGAGGTGAGTGGATTGCCTGAGGCTGCGGG